ATAAAGGATGACTGCTCGGTTGAAATTATGACATTCTTTTCTTCAAGAATCAAATTGTCTTATTGATTCCTCCAACTCCAAAACGGAGGAAAAAACGATCATTCATCTAAAAAACATCCGCAATCTTCATTTAGATCTGATCTAGGCCTCGAAACTAGATATCTATGATATATAATATAATGTCTGTCTTGATCTAGACCTAGGCCATAGATCTAGAAGAACCTAAGTTCTTCCCTGAAGAGCCAAGAGGGCGCTGAAACTTTCCGAAATCACAAAAGATTTCCCCTACCGGATCTGTATACTTTGTGACTTTGTTCCCGGTTAGGCCTACCGGGTCTGTATACTTCATGACTTTGTTCCCGGTTACCGGGTCTGTATGTTGGGCGCGATCTGTCGATTTGCGCGATCCACCGACGGCCCAGCGCAATTGGCTGATCGAGGAAACGCGCAACAATCCATCGATTGTTACGCATTCTGTTGACCAGCGGATCGCGCAGCGCTTTCTGTCGATCCGTGAAATATATACTTACTGCGCATTCTGTCGATAAACTATGATGATGAGGTGAATTAAAAAAAAAAAAAGAAAATTGGTTTACTGAGCACGTCAGTCTTTGGTTTGAGCATCCAAGAAGAGTTGTGTGATGAACTTAAAGTGTTGATGGTTGAGTGAGGCCGATAAATTGACACGACGTTAAATCGAGCACCTTCACTCAGTATTTGGACAGATGTGATTGGCTGCGTACTTCACGTGATATTCCAAATACGGTCAACATTTAATGGCTTGTGATAAATTGTTGTGTGTTGATTAAACATTTATTATACAAGTATTGTTTTCTTGAACAAAAGCATCTCGAGCACAACCAACCTCTCCATATTGAATAAGTGTTCGGAGTGATACTCACCGACCTATAAGTATTGAGGCGCCTAACCCTGATTGCACTCTCATTAGAACTACCCAATAATAGCAGTGTCTAAGTACACGATAACCGACGACTCAGGGTCTTTCCACCACCACAACAGCATCGTCATTACTTCCACCACCATATTTGTCTTTCCACATGTTTAATTTGATTTTGTTGAGTGTTGAGTTTTTCTGTAATTTTTTTTAAAAATCACATCGCACAAAACCGACAGCCATGGCCCCTTCCCAACACCTCTTCCCCGAAAGCCGAGAGTGCGATCGCTACGCGCAGTCTCATTGAAGTCATTGGTCGAAACAATTAACTTTGCCCCCGGCAAGGTCAGCTCAACTTAGTTTTGTTCATACTAATGACGATCGACGCAGGGAGGGCCAGTTTAGATAGATCTAGTAACTGGATGTTAAAGCTCACGTCTCAATTGTTATCATTATAATTT